CTATATCTAAAAATGAGTTTGTATATAACAATTATTGGTAGCTGCCTTTATTATCTATTTGGAGCAAATCATTACAGATTGAAATGGAGACGGATTTGAGATCCTGCTCTGTTAATGAAAAAGAATCAAATGCTGAGTCAGTTTTATCAACAGGGAATCATAAAAACAATTTCCAGTTAAATAGTATTTCAAAAATATCAGCAAATGAGAACATGGATATGTGAACAATATTAGGGGATATTTTTTTCATAAATAGGTTGAATTTATGATATCATTGTTATTTAAAAAATAGAAAACTCCTGCCCTGGCTGTTGTTGCTCAATGGTTAGAGCCTCAACCCACTCACTGACGAGTTGTAGATTCCATGCTGGTCAAGGGCACGTGCCTGGTTGCAGATTTGTTCCCCAGCCCTGGTTGGGGCAAGTGCAGGAGGCAACCAATTGATGTGTCTCTCTCACATAGATCTCTCTCTTCCTCTCCCTCTTTCTCTGTCTGCCCTCTCTCCCTCCCTTCCACTCTCTTTTAAACAACAAACAAAAATCAATGGAAAAAAAATATCCCCTGGTGAGGATTAACAAAAAAATAAAAAATAGTAAACTTAGAAGTAAGCATGATAAAACATGCTTTGACATCTGGTAAAGAAATACTCAGGTCCTAGCTGGCTTGGCTCAGTGGATAGAGTATCAGCCTGCGGACTGAAGGGTCCCAGGTTCGATTCCAGCCAAGGGCACATGCCTAATAATAAAAAAGAAATACTCAGGGCAATCAGCACCTCTAATCTAGTCTTGCACACAGTGGTTATTCTAGTTGCCTCTCCAAAAGCCCCTGGTTAGGGAGAAACTTTCTGGACCACCTTTAAAGCTTTCCACATATTCATTACAATCAGCAATAAGAAGGCACAATATTTAACTGCAATTTTAAGCTTGGTTTCCAAAGAGTGTGAGTCCCCTCCTTATGCAGCATCCCATAAAGATGTCTGAAATGTTCTACCATGACTCTATGGGTCTTTATAAAACATTAAAACAAAAGTTGTAAAGTCAACACTCCTAGCCTCAAATCTATCATTTTTTGTTAGTTGGGATCCAACGTCCTTTTGTGATTTCCATTTCTATCACTGCCTCAGTAAACCCAGTAACTTTAACAATTACTTCTCTATTTCCCACGTGAGTTTCAGAGCCTCTAGGATTTATAATTTAATATTTCTTTCCTGTTTTGGAAAATCTGTCATTTCACATAGATTTGAGTTCTTCCTACTTCCCTACCTGTGTGAAGTTGGGGGGTGGGATGATATTTTCACTTATCCTAGGTTTTCTCTAACATTGATTTAAGTCTGCGTTCTTCATTGCTGTTTTATTTAGACAAAAAAATACTACCACCTCTAAACCTAAACAACCTGCACTGCTCTAGCCAAAAGTGAATTCCCCTCCCATCAAATCTTCAGGGTAGTATTGTTTTGTTTGTTTGTTAGTTTTATATTTTTATTTATTTCCGAGAGGAAGGAAGAGGGAGAAAGAGATAGAAACATCAATGATGAGAGAAAATCACTGATTGGCTGACTCTTGCACACCCCCTACTGGGGATCGAGCCCGCAACCCAGGCATGTGCCCTTGACCAGAATCGAACCTGGGACCCTTCAGTCTGCAGGCTGATGCTCTATCCACTGAGCCAAAGCAGCTAGAGCATCCAGGGTAGTGTTTTCAGTATATTTCTTTACTAAGTGGTCAATATGAATGGACGGAAAATAATATGCACTATTTTTAGTGGGCTTCAATGGCTAGCTCAGTGCCATGTGCTAAAAACAATGCTTAACAAGATGGGGACTGCAATACTCAGATTCCACCAATGACAGCTTTATCCATCCATACAACCCTGAGAAATTAAAGAGTTCAAGAGACCTCCAATGGTGATGCTAAGTTGTTCTATCAATGTGTGTAACCAACTATTGCAAAAATTAACTCCTCACATATCTGTGATGATTTGACAAGCAATATAGTCAAGTAAACTTTGTAAAGAATTATTCAAATAGGCAACAGTGAACCATATAATATGCTAGTGATCTGATTTTAGAGGCTATCAGCCCATGACTATCCAATTTCACAAATTCCATGATAAATGGTTTAGCCACTGGAATCAGTACACACAACCTAAGAGATCCCAAAAGCATAAGACACAAGCACCGAGGACTAAATGTTTAGCAATAGCTATGTCTTAACAGAACTGCTAGGCCATTCCTAGGCTTAAGTAAGGAATCAAAGTAGAAGTAAGAAAAACAAGTAATTGAAGTAATGGTATGAAGTTTGAGCAATAACTGTTATGGTTCCACCCAATAAAAACATTCTTTCAATTGAGAAAATATGAAAAGATAACTTTTAGGGGTATTTTTTATCTAATTTTTATCAGTCTGTAAGGGATATGACATTATAAGAACTCATTTTAATTTTATTTCTTAGACTCCCTTGTCCCCATTAATCAAATTAAATACAACATTTATTATTATTATGTTTGGTTATACTTCAATAATAATGAGTATAATTATGAACTGTGAAAATTAATAAACAAAACCTCATTTAAAATGGAGTCGGGAGACTAGAAAACTGTCATGCACATGTAGACCAACTGACCCCAAGAAGAGGAGACAAATATTGCATCTCCGACAGGAAGTGATGCCACGTTACTATCACAGCAGGAGGAAGGAAAGACTCCTCCTGGCCCTGGAACAGCTCAGCCAATGGGAGGCTGCCATAGCTCAGCACTGAAAAGTCACTGTGCCTCGAACTTGCAGTTTCTCCAGTGGGCTCTTCCTTTACAACAGCCCCTCCCAAGTCCACAAAACTCCTCTCTTTTGTTTCTCTATATGTGTGTGTGACTTACCATTAGACCACATGTCCCGAATTGCAATTCTTTGTTGTTCCCCAATAAACTATTTTGCTGGAGAAATACCAGGCAGTGGATTAAAAGTCAACAGCTTTTTTTTTTTGAGCCAAGAACTTAAACTACCTTATTTCATTTAATCCTTTTGGACAACCTCTACAGTGGGTGGTGTTGCCCCCATCTTATAGAAGAGGAAAGTGTGGTTGGGTGACTTAAGTCACTCCGCAAAGCCCTGCCGCTAGCAAGGGCAGGCTAGAGCCTTCCCAGTCTGCCTTCGCCCTCAGCCTGCATTCTTCCCACCCTACTCCATAACTCCCCGCAATCATTCTTCTGGCCTGACCACATTGGGAACCAACTCTTCAAAGTAAGTCTCTCAGACAACTGCAGGCCAGTAACAATCATGACTTATTTGCTGAAGACCATGTAAATGCTTTATTTTACCTGGACAGGAGTCCATGGTATGAGTGAAGTTTACAAATTTCATGGCAGTTTCCGTTACAGAAGAGGCTTGCACTATCTCCCACCATGCAATGACAGGGAAGGGAGGAAAGGTTTAAGCTGAAACAATCGTTTCCCCCAAACCTCAGATCTGTGCCTCTGGTCTTCATTCCCAGAGAAATTTGGTCATCATCTGCAGGCCACGCTACAACTGTGCTTGCTGCACCTCAGCTTAATGAATGCTCTGAGAGGGAAGGACTGCAAAAATGAAACCAGAAGGCAGGGCTGAGCAGGAAAACCTATTCTGCATTTTGTGGTGGTCCCTGAAAGGAAGGGGTTAGATTCAAACCCACTGGACATTCTTCTTCTCATATCTCCACTCCTTGATCCAAATTTTTATTCATAATCTCAATGTCAACTTACAGATGGAAAGTTGGCAGAATTAAGTACAGTTTTTGTTTTTTCTCTTCGAAAACACACACATATGTACACACATATACGTATGGGGTGAAGCAGATGCTAGATATTATTATTTCCTCTCTATAATTTGCAAATGTTCTGCAATGAGCATGCATTTATTTCACAACTAATAAAAAATCAATTATCATTTAAATACTTTCTCTCCCTACTCCCACTGCTTTCTCACAGAAATATGCATTATTCTTAAATCTGCTACATTTTATAAGGCAATAAAAAAGAGTAAAATCTAGATCAAGAACAGGATTATTTACTAATAATTTCTTATTGGTGTGGTTATTATTTTCAGAAACAACATGATTTAAAGACAGCAATAGATAAAAGCACCTCAAAGTCTTATTAGACCTATTGGACTATTCATATATTCAATCATTATGTATATGTAAAAATAATAGATATTCAGGTGCATGGTCCATTTGTAGCCCAGTTCAATTTTGAAAAATGTAAGACAAATTCTTCAAAACTAGTAATGTGAAATAAATTAATGAAACATGTAACTATAATAACACATAAATATTTCATAGCAACAGATAACAGTAATAATAATGACCACTGTCAACAACAATGCCTGACATTTGTAGGGATCAGACCGAGGACTAAGTGCTTTAAATGCATAATCTCTTGGGATCATCAAAAAACCAAATGATTGAGGCATTTCTCTTTTTCTTATCCCTATTTCACGGATGAGGAAACTGGGGCTTAGAGAAGTTGAATAATTTGTACAAATAGCAGCATTGGGACTCAAAGTCAACTTTTGTCTTAAACACTATACTAAAACTAAAATGTCCTCATATCATTCAAATCAGTTAAATTAACTTCTAAGATTGCCTTTTGAGAATCATCTTCTAGGGATGGACTCAAAATGTGGCAATGAGAGAAACTTTTTAAAATAGTTTTCAAAACTTACGAAAACTCAGAAAATTTGGAAGTAAGAGGACTATTACAAGGTAATTTTAATTCCCAAGACAGAGCAACAACAAAGGAACTCATTAGAAAATCCTGAACCCCTTTGTAGGTAGAAATTCTACCAAAGGTTTTCCCTGATTTCTTTTTTGAATCTATGCATCTGAACTAAAATTTTTGCATTCTTCTTTCTTGTCCATATATTTCATGATATCATATAAAGCAGATTATGTATTTGGGAAAAGAATGTAAGTAAACCGTAACTTTCCAGTCACACTAAGAGTATAAAAGTTTGTAACTCTGGACCATACCTTGGTTTTCATGAACTTGGAGTGACTTTTGTAAACCTCTATTTGTTTGATCTCTTCTTCACGGTCCTCAGTGTTCAGCACACCATTGGCTTTTAACATCTGGATCTCATCCTCAAGATCCCTTATGTTTCGCTCCAATGAAGCAATTTTTGTGTCCTGTTTGTGAAATTTAAAAAAAAAAGAAAAGAGAAGGAAAGAATTGTTTTTCAGTGTTATCAAAACAGAATTTCAGATAGGAATTTTGGTAGTAATACATTAACCATGATGTAGACATAGCTGTGAATTCAGAACATTTTTTTCACTTCTAAGGAATGTTTATGAGATTATTTGTTAAGCTCCTACTAAAGACCATGTCTCAATAGAATACAGAGCTACCTAGATACGTTTGCCTAATATCTGGGAATCAAATTACCAAAGCAATAGTAATAAAAGTGAAAATATCATTTAAAGTGGACACATTTTTAATTCAAGATATAGTTTACCACTGTATATCCTTAGGTCTACTTGTAAACATAAAAATGGTGTGTTCGTGTGTATATTCTGTGGCTGGTTTTATAAGGCATGCTTGGAATTTGACTGTGAGAGAAAAGGAAATTAAAATCTACTAATGGGAAAAAGGATTCTCATCTAAAATGCAGACATAAGTGAAATTAAATAACTGAAACTTGACTTAGTATGACTGATACACTAAATATTAAAAATTTTATAGTAACTGGAAATAATATATCACAACGTCATGATTTATTTGGCAAGCTGTCAGCTCCTAACATCGCAAAAACATTACTACTTTGAAGGGTATTTCTAACCAATTGATTTACAGTAAAAATACAAAAACAAACAAACCGAGAATGTGGGATTGAGAAAAATAAACATAGAGAATTTTTTAAAGGAAATGACAAACTCTGTACACAATGTAGAGCATAATAAGAAATGAAGCATTAGAAAGTAGAGAAAAGAAAGCTCTTATGTGGGGGGAAAAATCATCCCTCAAACTTCATTATTAGACTCAAGTCAATCTTGTAAATGAAACATTGTGGAAAATTTCGCTTTAAGTTTTCCCACAATCACCATCTACCTGCCATTTAACTGTACAGATTCCAGGAGCTTATATACATTTATAACTGAATATCAATTAAAAACAAATCACCAACTCATTTTGTAACAATTCTTTTAGAATGTAAAAAATTAAGAGTTCCAAAATAAAGGCAATGAATAAACTATTCAATTCATAACTAATTCATTAAAAGGACTCAGCAACAAATGTGTCCATCCTGACTTTGTGACTATCTTCTATTTTATTTCCCTATGTTATATGCCCGAAACATGTCTCCTGTGGAAATATAATAATTATTGTTGTTAACATTGTCATCATAGTTAAAAGAAAAACAAGGATCTGCAAGAGAGACTTATTGAGCTCCACTGTCTACGTGCCAAGACCCAAGTGCTCGAAATGCTGGAGAAACACTTTTATTAATTCTAAAAAACAATAAAAAAATCCAAGAAGACAAAATAAAGAGATTCTGAAATTCGCAAGACTATTAAGGATGGTACAGTCCACAGTATTCCATTTCCTTTAAACCATATCTACTGAATTTTTTCCAGTTACAAAAATAATACACTTTAAACTCATTGAAAATGGAGAAAATCCCCTCTAACATCATTAATGTTTTTACATATAGCCTGCCAGGCTTTTTTATTTTAGATGCAATTTCTGGAAGTCTAGTGTACTTCCAGTTTGAGTGAAGGGAGTCTTGTGGACTGAACATTTGTGTGCCTCCAAAATTCATATGTTAAAGCCCTAATTAGTAATATGATGGTATTTGGAAATGAAGCCTTTGGAAGGTAGTCAAAGTTAGATGGGGTCATTAGAATGGGGCCCTTACGATGGGATTAATGCCCTCAGGAGAAGACACAGTAGAAAAGTTGTTTTTTTGTAAAGAAAGTATTCTCCTATGACAGGTGAGGATTAACAAAAATAAATAAATAAATAAATAAATAAATAAATAAAATGGCAAAGGTTAAAGACAAAGAGAAAATCATAAAAGCAACAAGAGAAGAGCAGTTGGTTGCCTGCAACGGATCTCCCACAAGACTGTCAGTTGATTTCTCAACAGAAACTTCTTAGGCCAGAAGGAATTGGCACAAAATATTCAAGTGATGAAAAGCAAGGACCTACAACCAATATTAATCATATAATCAATAATATTGTAATAACTATGTATGGTGTCAGATGGAAGCTAGATTTATCAGAGTTGTCACTTTCTAAGTTATATAAATATCTAATCACTGGGTTGTATACCTGAAACTAATCTATAATTTAAAAAGGTAATATGCTAATTAGACTGGATGTCATTCCAGCCGTTCTTCCGGATGAAGCCAGGGCCAGAGGGAAGCCCGGGTCCCAGATGCCAGAGGGAAGCTGGTGCCAGCAGCCAGGGGAAGGAAGGCCTACTCTTGCACGAATTTCATGCATTGGGCCTCTAGTATAATATTTGTACATCAACTGCAATTGAAAAATAAAAAATTATTTTTAAAACATTATGTTTTTAAGCCACCAGTCTGTGGTCATTTTGTTATGCCAGCCCAAGCTGACAGAGGTAGGGAGTCATCCTTCGTGACTCACTTGAGTTCTGAGACATGAGAACTCCACATATAAAAAGAGCAGCAATAAGAAAAAGGCTATTAAAAAAAGAATCTCTAAAAGTTCACAAGAATGTTCCTAAATAAACGAGTCATTTTACCTCAATGTTTTGACTATAAAATTGAGACATGTTATTATAGAAAACTTAAAAGCTATTGATAATTACAACTGTCCATAATCACATCACCCAGATATACCCATTAACATCTTTATACCCTTGAAAGCCTTATTTTATTTTTACTTAAAAACACAGAAATGATACATATCAATATGACATAGATTTCTTCCCTTTATTGAGATGTAAGTTGACTATTTTTTTTTAAATATATTTTATTGATTTTTTACAGAGAGGAAGGGAGAGAGATAGAGAGTTAGAAACATTGATGAGAGAGAAACATCAATCAGCTGCCTCCTGCACATCTCCTACTGGGGATGTGCCCGCAACCCAGGTACATGCCCTTGACCAGAATCGAACCTGGGACCTTTCAGTTCCCAGGCCGATGCTCTATCCACTGAGCCAAACCGGTTTCGGCGTAAGTTGACTATTGATGAGATGTACAAATATCTAAGTAGAATATTTATGAGTTACTGTAAGTTAAGTATGAAAGGCAGGGCCAGCATTTCTGCTTTTCCTATATAAAATCTCCTAGAAATTCAGACCCAAGTCTAAAGTGACCGACCATATTCATATGTATGTATGTATGTATGTATGTACATATATACGTGTATAAATGTGGTGTGTGTGTTTGTGTGTATGTGTACTATGATACACTTTGTAGTCCTCACATCTTATACTTTACTTTTTGAATAGCGCTTGGTAGAAGTTCAGGTTTCGATCACGTAGACAAGCAAAGAAGACCCCTTCAGCTTTCCAGTCAATACTTGATGCTTTAGTTAGTAATGACCAGAACTGCCTATTTCTAAATGGGTTAGAAGGAGCTTCCACTGGACTTTAAAAAACTACATACTGCTAAAGAAAGATCAGCTGAGGTAAGATAGAAAATATCTTAACACAGAAAACCCTCTTGGCCTATAAACATCTGAACTAAAATTTCATCAAATGGTGAATCACATTAACTTTTACTAATTTTTTAAAATTAACCAACAACTTTCCTTTTTCCTACGAACTTCTTTTTCCCTTTAAACTTAGGTGTCCCAAAACAGAAGGAAGAGGAGAGGGAGGGGGGTGGATATTGAGGAAGTTACTTGAATAAGGGTCTATTTTTTTTCTGTCCTGATAAATATTTATGTTCTTACACAAGAAGTCAATTTCAAGGGCAGCAGAACTCACACCTGAAATCATGAGCATATAGAAAAGGAGGTAGAAAAATATTATCAAGATCTAGAGAGAACAGGTACAACATACATAGATACATTAGATAGTGTATTGACTGTGCCCAAGAAGATGGTCAAAATTCTGAACCAGAGGAAGACAAAAAACAAAAGCAAGTGAAATGTCAGCGTCTCAAGTGACTCACTTTGAGAAACTCACGGAGAAGAATGTTTTTCTTTTTTAAAAATCTCTAAAACTAGATAAATGACTAGAAACATATTTATATTTGAGTAGGGCTATGAAAGGTTGAAACTACTTCACAAGTCCTGATGGCTCAATGTGACACATGGATGGATCCTGTCTTTCAGAATAGATACCAAATGCACATTCTATGTAATAAAAGGCTAATATGCAATTGTCCCCTACACAGGGAGTTCGATGGGCAGTTCAACCAGGAGTTCAACCAAGGGGTGGGGCCAGCTGGCCAACCGCCCTCAGCCCCTCCCTACAGCTGGACTCCACCCATGCACGAATTTGTGCACCAGGCTTTCAGTGTTCAATAACCCCCTCACTGATCTAGAATAGAGAGAGAAAATTAAATAAAGACATAGGCTATAACATCCCAAAAAGTAACATTTTAAAAGACAGAGCAACATTTTACTCCAAATTACCAGAGATTTCTTCATCTAAACATCTTCAAATATTATTTGTAACTGATATTTTTAAATTTTATATTATGTAGTGATTTTCAAATACTCATCTAGATTATGTTTCACAAATAAGCAAGCTCTCGAGGCAGAGAATTGTGGGCCTTCCTTAGAAATGGGGAAAGTGAAATAAAACACAGAACAGCCTTTCCGACCACGGGATCCAAACGCTCTGTGAAAAGGGGCTCCCAGGGTCAACTGCCGTGGAAATGCCTGTTGGGCATTCCCAATGCACAACAGCTCTGGAAGTACTGCTGGTTCTGGAACTACTACTGCCAATTATTCCTTTTTCCCAATTGTTACTCCTATAGGAGTCAATTCTTGGGGAAGAAATTAGGACTTTAATGATCACATTAAGCTCATGGTTATATAAGAAAGTGAAGAATCAAAACAATAATTTGGATTCCTCAAGGGAAAACGTGCCATGATTACACCCAATTTAAAATAATTGGGGTTTTAAATATGCAAATCACCTTGTCAGCATCTGTCACTCAAAGGTGGTTCATGAGTGCCTACGCTGAGCCCCAGCAGTGAG